GACCAAACTCACAGAGGGTGCAGAAAACGGATAAAACCGAAAACTTGGCGTTCGAGTGTTAATTCGAGCTCAGACTTTGATGGCAAACACTCATGCACATCGTTGGTTGGCAAGGCCTCAATCTCGCAAACGATTGCAACAAGTTAATTATGTAATCTAGGGCTGAACTAACTCCAACGTCCGCTGCATGCCGAGATTAGCATGAAAAGCTCATGCTGCGTTTCGGCTGTCAGAACTTCGTTGTCGCATAGAAGGGCGCTTCAAGTAGAATAAGCGCAGCAGAGTAATTCCAGGAAGACAGGATAGAAGATGGCTAAGAGAAAAACAACTGCTGCCTTGATACTTGATGTCAAGGTAGTTTTTCTCCCTAACAGGCAATTTAGATAATTAACTCGTTGCAATCATTTGCGAGATTGAGACCTTGCCAACCAAAGATGTGCATCTGAGTGTTAGCCATCAAAGTATCAGCTCTAATTAACACTCGAACGCCAAGTTTTCGGTTTTATCCGTTTTGTGCACTCTCTGTGAGTTTGTCCTAAAACTGATTGTGCAACATTTGGTCTCGTTCATTCGCTCTCCCAACACTGTCGCAAGTTCAGATTGGAATTGTAATATTCTTCTTTTCTGCCTCTCAGAGTGGAATGCGACCTTATATTCTATGGTAATTATTGCTCATCTGGATGAATACTATCACCCTTCTTAATTTGCAAAAGTAATTTAGAATCACTCTGTATATATGACATCGATAACAGCGAAATATGAATCAGCGGATATGGGATTATGCATGGCAAATCCTATCAGATTGAGAAATATTTTGGTATGTTTTATAAATCAGTATATTCTTATGTATAAATCAGTCATCCTCATTAACATTCTATGCTTATTTAAATTTATATGTCTAGGTATGATAATTACCTTTTAGCAGCCAGGAGAAAAGGCATTAAACGAGGCCTTATGACAGCTTCCGGCGATGCCCTTACTTGGTTCTGTATTTACGGTGTATATGGATTAGCCTTTTGGTACGGAGTCAAGCTTATGCTCGAAGATAGAGGTCAACCAGATCCTGAGTACACCGGAGGAGTTCTTGTTACTGTTAAGTATAATACTTACTCGGTCGATGATTCATAATGAATCATAAAAAAATATTTCTAATTTTTATATACTAAAGGTTGATATAGTAAGGGTATCAGTCCTTAGCTCCGAGTGAATTATTATTTGTATTCCTTGGTTTCAGATAGTTGATAGCACCTGATATCGTTCCTGTGTTTTTAATAGCTGATTGTTTTTATACATTAATGATAAACTTATCTTACAGAAAAGGGCAATAAGCCGATAATAACCTTGAAAGTATTTTCTCTTACCGAAATTAAACCATTGTTGTACGACAGCTATCACGATAAAATATATTTCTGCTCGCTTGCCTTGAGTCATACTATTCGAGCTACTAGAAATATTTCTCATGTTGAATATTATTAGTGAAATATTATTGAGGCATGTAACCGGAGAGCAAAATTGAAAACGAAAAATCTATGAGAATCTACGGAAGCTAATTGGAGGAAACTGCGTATTGCATGAGATGATTGAGAAAAAGGGGGGGGAGCACAAGCGACTATATGAAATAAGAATGCATTTGCAAAAACGGTTCATTTCACAAAAGTGCGCTTTGAAACAATTGACAATTAAATTGTGATGATTTCTGAACTTATTCGGTGCATCCTCGAAGTCCTCTCGAGAAATCTGTGTCAGAGAGGCAAGGGAAGGTACAAAATGTTTGAAATTTGGGTACTATTCGGTTTTGAGGGCCGTAAAAAATCGCCAAACTATTGTTGATGCCAGTGCTGCCAAACACAATTGCGGCAACCCTAATGCAAGAAAGGAAGTATAATAGTAAATAACTATCTAAAGATTGATGTTTTAATTTAATAATATTTTTTAGTATATAATTTATATAAAAAAGATAATATGATGAATGGACGCATAAGAGTAAATAACTATTTCAGATCATCATTGTAATTTATATAAAAATTGCTAACATAACTGAATGGATGCTGCTCGCTATTTCGCTACCGAGTTTCATTGGTAAAGCACAGTTTCATCTCGTTGGTTGTTCAAACACAGTTTTCTATGATGAATAATGCCTTTTCTTTGAAAAAAATCCCGGTAAAGTGCAGAATCGCCCCCTTATTTGTTTGTCGCTTTTTTACAAGGATAAAAACAATTGGATTTTTGTCAATTTTCTTTTACTTTTTAAGTGAAAACAGGTCGATGTGTACATTGATAAGACAAGGGTGTGCGCAGTGCCATTTTTGTGTAATTCTGGGATTTTTTTTTTTTTTTTTGAAGTGAAAATAGATCGATGTGTCAATGGATACCGAGTTTGTGCAATTCTTAAAAACGCGTCAAGCAGTGGGTGCTTCTGCACTTTACCCAAAATTCTATTGCACACTTTTCGTCATGGGCAATTCCCAAATTATTAAATCTATAGGATATTAAAAAAAAAGGATTTAAAATGAAAAAAAAAAATTAAAATTAAAAATAGTATTTCAATGGCGTCTTAAGAAATATAGAACTAATCAATTTACGCAATTTGAAATCAGCGCATAGGCCCACCAGCGGCCGAGCGGTAAAGACGCTGAACACTGGTAGTTCGGTCCGAGGTTCGAATCCCACGAACGGGCTGGCTGCATGGACGTTTTCGTGGTTTTCCCTATGTGTAACGGGCCGACCAGCGGCCGAGCGGTAAAGTCGCTGAACACTGGTAGTTCGGTCCGAGGTTCGAATCCCGCGAACGGGCTGGCTGCATGGGTGTTTTCGTGGTTTTTCCCATGTGTAACGTGTATACGAGCCAGTTTCCCTTAGAAAGCCCTCCACGAAGGCATCCCTCCTCTTAGGCAGATAGCCCTAGTGTGCTTTGCTATAATTAAATACACACATACACACACACACCCTATGTGTAACGTGTATAGGAGCCAGTTTCCATTAGAAAGCCCTCCACGAAGGCATTCCTCCCTTTAGGCAGATAGCCCACGTGTGCTTTGCCATAATTAAATAGTCCAATTCAATCCAATCGAAATCAGCGCGTACGCTAGATCTGGCGCGTTTGTTAGATTTGGCGCTTTTGCGCATGCATTTTCGCTGCAATTATTTTATGGTCCTCAAAACGGAATAGTACCGAAATTTATTTGCTAAAAGTTTTCCGTGGAATAGAACTTAAAAGAGCACCCAGAAAGAATGACATTTCGTGTTTAGAAACTGGGATGCATTTAGGCTAATAACTCTTATGTGCTTTTCTTTAGTTCAGTTCAGTTGGCTTAGACGCAATACAAAGATTTGAATTAATCTAAAAGCAGATTTTTTAATGACTGATTCCTTATAATCATTGCGAGGGCTTTGAATACCTTTTAATGTAACGAAATGTTTTATGGTACGGATAAACGACTTTCATTTGTTTTTCTGCTTTCAGTTCCATTTGTCGTCTTATCTTTTCGCAAATTTGTATTACAAATGGAACGAACATCTAATTTTCAAATCTATTGACTTTACAGTGAACTTCCTAAAATTTATTTTGGATTATCAGGAAGTCTGATTATAAATTAACACGTTATTGTAAATCAATTAACGTAGAATTATTATCAGGAAATCTGAAGTCCTTTTTTGCATACTTTGCCCACCAGCGGCCGAGCGGTAAAGTCGCTGAACACTGGTAGTTCGGTCCGAGCTTCGAATCCCGCGAACGGGCTGGCTGCATGGGCGTTTTCGTGGTTTTCCCCATGTGTAACGTGTATACGAGCCAGTTTTTCTTAGAAAGTCCTCCACGAAGGCATTCCTCCCTTTAGGCAGATAGCCCACGTGTGCTTTGCCATAATTTAATAATCCAATTCAATCCAATCCAAATCAGCGCGTACGCTAGATTTGGCGCGCTGTTAAATGAGCGCGTTCCAGCGCCAAATTTAACAATTTGGTGCTTGAAGATTTAATTTTTTCTGAATTTTTCAAAATTTTTCGTATATTTGAAGGTACTAACTTTTAAAGAACTTGCAAGGTCAGATTGTTGCTGCCCACCTTCGAACTGACATATCACTTTCAGCTTTGCTTCCTATGAAATAGTTTTTCGCTTGTTAGAACAATCCATCTTAATTAACGTAAAGAATAAAATTTTTTTTTTTTAACTTTTTGCAAAACTCAAAAAACAGAAAAATCCCCCCCCCGAAAAAAAAAAAAAAAAAAAAAAAAAAAGAGTTCAGATTTTAAGGGATGCCGGGTTTAGGGTTTTTTAAAATTTTCACTGAGTTCGCAGTTGCACTCAATCCTGTTTGGCATATTTCTACCTTTTTTTTTTCACTCTTTTCTGAGTTCATCATATTAGTTTTCAGTTTGCTTAGTAAGGCAAACTTAGTAGCCTTAGTAGTAGCCTTGCTTAGCAGTAAGGTTACAAAACTCTTTTTTTGTCTTTTTATTATTAACGTTTTGTGTATTAAATTTGTTTATTAAATATCATGTTATTCGCATACTACGCCACTCAAAATTCTAAAGAAAAAAAAATTTCGCCTGTTAGCTAAAACGCAAACTAAGCAAAAAGATATAATACGATGAGCGTACAGCAATAAACTGTCCGATGGAAACCACTGCGCGGCCGTGCTTTATTGTAGCCAGCATAGATCCCCGTTCTGCCGCTGTGTCTCAGTACCTATCGGTTGTATCGTATCCGCGGTTTAATAATATGCAGTTCAATCCTATAAAGATATATTTTATTATTAGTAATATCATTAAAAAAGTAGCAATCACCTGCTTTCTAATATAAAAAATGTGAAATTTTGAAATTTCATAAATTGATTTTTGAAAGAGCGTTATAGCGAATCAGCGTAATCAGGGAAACGTAAACCGGGGTATTAGTATAAATGTGAAATTTATACTGACCTCCAAAGTAATGCTTAGAGGGTTTTTTTAGAAGACTTGGAAACAAATTTAGGCTTCATGCAGTATAGTTTTAAGGCAACTTATATATATATTTCCCTTCCGCAATTTCATCGATGCTGAAATTGAATTTATTCTGTATGATCCTGTCTGTCTAACAAGTCAATCTATTTGGTACTGATAATATTCACTCTACATAATCTAACGTATTCTACGTGAGGCTGAAAGATACCAGATAGAACAAATTATCAGTCTAACTCAGGGATTCCCAATATTTCTTCCCTGGTCGCGCAGCGGCGGGCTCACGATTAACCTTATCCTACCTTTTAAAATCGGAGTTTTGATTAAAAAAAAAAAAAAAAAAAAAAAAAAAAAAAAAAAAAAAACAAAAAAAAAAAAAAAAAAGGTAGGCAGTCTTATTAGGTCTAGAGGAGTACACAGTAAAATTTTGGGAAGGTAGCACTTATCGTTTATTTCTGTGGGTGTGCCCGAAGAGGGCATACTAATCGAATAGAGCTTCGAAAAGAGTGCTGAAACGAGCACTGTTGTCAATGAACTGACGGATGAGACGCGGAGAAACAAAGAATACAGACTCTCAGTTGTCCTAGATTATCGGTGAGCCCGAACTGGGCACACCAAGGGTTCGTCGTTGGATTTTAGGCAAGATTTCAAGGTAAAAATTTAAAACTAGTATAGAATAAGGAGATTAGCATACAGCCAAAAAATAACATAGAAATTTCTTTTCAAGCAATTCCTTGTATACCCTAAAAAAATTCTTTTCTTTGAAAAATGAGGGTCTTAAAAAACTAAACATGGCTAAAATATATGGACTGGTTTGTGTTGAGCTGCCATCTACTATGAATAAAGAAGGTTCAGAGTAACCTATAGTAACTTATAAATCCTTTTTCATTCAATTTTTCTGTGTGTACAGAAGGGAATTTTTAGGTATGTCCAGACCTAACACACTGTGTCACAAAGGGTTAACGATCGGCGGGCGCCATGATGCCGGCGGGCATAGGGTTGGAACTTCTGGTCTAACTCATCTTATGATTAAAGCACTTATTTTTTTCTTATAACTTGTTATATCTGATGTGAAAGATTTCTAAAAGTCGCCATATTCTTTTTTGTATGAATATTAACTTCACTTTTTTTAGTGTGTGTTTTTAGCACTAACTATTTACACTGCGGGAGAAGGGAAGACAGTTCTACATTTCCCGTTCTACTGAACTGATTGGCAAAATTCAAATTGAATTTTTCATGTCTCGAAAGCGCGACATAGGATATATATCAGATTTATATATAGCGTAGTTCTAACACAGGTATTTTGAGACAAAATCGGCCGTTTTCTGAAATAATATGCCAATTTTTTTTATATTTCGATTCTACGACTCAAATTATGCCTAGATATTAAATTTTGTAAAATTTGGTGCGATATTTACAGAGAAATTCAAAACTTTGTCTTGGCGAATTTTTTTTTTTCAGTTTGCGCCAAAAATAATTCACATGGCGATCTTCTTAATATGTACCAAACTCAATGAACATTTTGAGGAACTAAAATTTTGAGAGCTAATTGTTTAGAAACTACTCGTGCGATTTTTACAAAACTTGATAGTTTGGCGTAATTTGAGTTGTAGAATGAAAACACGAAAAAAAAAATTGGTATGTTATTTCAGAAAAAGTCCGAATTTGTGTCAAAATACCTATGTTAGAATGATGCTATATATAAATCTAATGCATAGCCTAAGTCCACGCTTTCGAGACATTAAAAAGGCAAGTTGAATTTTGTCAATCGGCCCAGTAGAACAAGAGATATAGAACTGTCCCATTTAAATTTTTTTTTTCGCAGTGTACATAAATTATGCTTTCTAAGATACTAGAGTTGTTTGAAAAAGTTATAATCTTCATTGTCGTAAAGTAAGGATTTTTCAATTACAGGTGCTTTTCAACATTGTAATGGGATCCATTTATTTTGGACAAGCGGCTCCGTATTTTGAAGCACTTGCTCTGGCCCGTGGAGCAGCGGCAAAAGTTTTTGACATCATCGATAGGGTATCTAAAATAATAACTTTTTCTCATTCCGAAGTATTTTGTGTGTAAAATTTATTTAAAGTGAATGTTAAACAATGTGCAAAAGAGTAAAATTAGGCCAAAGTGGGAGCCCACCAGCGGCCGAGCGGTAAAGTCGCTGAACACTGGTAGTTCGGTCCGAGGTTCGAATCCCGCGAACGGGCTGGCTGCATGGGCGTTTTCGTGGTTTTCCCCATGTGTAACCTGCATACGAGCCAGTTTCCCTTAGAAAGTCCTCCACGAAGGCATCCCTCCTCTTAGGCAGATAGCCCTAGTGTGCTTTGCCATAATTAAATACACCACCTAGGCCAAAGTGGTATCTGGTGTGCAGGCGAATCATCTCAATGAATGCGCATCTTAGAAGTAGTGAGATCTTTCTGGTAGGGCATGTATTTGTATCATCGGTTGTTTACTTGACTTGACTGTTTACTGCTTTCTTATGTGCATATTCGGATATTATATGCTTGCATAGCTGGCACTGACATCATTGTCATTAATATTTTATGCGTTAAAACACAAAATAATTTGAATTGGATGATTCATTACAGAATTTAACTAATCAGTTCAAATAAATTTAGCTTCTTCAGTTATCTTGTTTTGTATCGAGAATGCGAAGACGCTGCTGTTGGTTAATTATGCACCTTATAATTGCGTATAAATGCATTATTTTTAAAATACTATAAAATTAATTGCATCAATTATCCTCAACGGCACTCTACAATGTACCATCTGCTCATGTATATAAATGTGCCATGTACCCATTGATTATTAAATCGAATGATATAAGCATTGTAAATAGGTATAGTATTGTAAATAGGAAAACAGTATAGCATTGTAAATAGGAAGCTGTACCCATGCACCCGCATACATTTCTACGTAACGTGACACAGTAAGGCAAAACATCAACCTAGTGTCCTATTATGAAATTAATAAGCACCTATTACTAGTTATAACATTATTTTATGGATCTAGAGTTCAAGTATATGAAGTAAGTACCAAATGTTTATGTCACCAATGACTATTATGTACCAAATATAAGCGTATATACGCTTTTGTCAATATGTAATTGTGTATGTCCTTGTTTATATGTAATTGTACCCATCTATGTACTAGTGTTATCACATATCTTGGCACCGTATAGTTAATATACATCAATTACGCACTGACTAATCATGTACCTAATGTGTCTGTACACAAAATGTCTGTATATATGTATATGTTCTGTTTCTGTAACTATGCATCTGCACATTTTATCCTGTAACACGGCACCGTATCGCAAAGAACTAACTAGAGCCCCACTCTAAAATTAATTGCACCAATTATCTGTTCAGCATTGTATTAAGTACCTATTGTTAATGTATGTTAAAGTAGCACTTACCTAACGCTTAAGTATCCACTAATTACTGTGTACCTAATACACATGTTTTAATATCTTTGTACATTGGTTAATGTACTTAGGAAACAGTACAAATAATTCAGTAGCAAGACACTGTACCACACAGTACTAATCTAGGGTCTAACTTTTAATTCACTGTACTAATTACTTATTCCAGCATAACATTGCGCACCTAATATTTCAGTATGTACATGTCTTCTGTAATCTAATGATAATGCTTCAAAGGATCATAGTGTACTCAACATATGAGTACACACGTTATGTATATATGCTACCGTATCCATGCTTTTTGCATACACCTTGTAACATGGCAATGTATTATCCAGTGTCTAACATTAATTAGCTTTAACGCCACTGTATGAAGTACCAAATTTGTATGTATGTTTATATATTAGTATATTAGCAAATGAACACATATGGTTATCTAGATAAAGGTAGACGTGGCTCTATACCGATTAACCGTATTGGTAGAGGGGTGGTGCCCACGTCTTCCGTCGCATGTCGGTTAGTATACTTGAAAAAAAATATTGAAAATTGAAAAAAAAAATATTGAAATATTCAATTGGTTTCGCATCAGGAGGAGGGGCATGCTTTGGTCCAGGTACTTCAGAAAAAGTATTCGATTCGTTCGAAAAAATTGTATCCACGGATAAAAACTCATCAATAATATCGTCATCGGAGGTACTTGCAGTTACTTCTTCATCATCACTGCTATCACTAATAACTCGTAATCTCTTAGAACGAATGATGATGTCACTTCCACTATCACTTTCAAGGCCATTACTATACTCTTCATTATCACTTCTCATAACATAGTCACTTTCAAATGAATCAGAACTTGACATGGGTTATTTCGTAATTATCAGTATAACACTTGGTAAAAAAAAATGAAAACAATTTCCAATTCGTATAAAACAACTGCTACTGATATCACTACAACTGCTGTCAATAACTGCGTAAAGTATACAAATAACAAACCAACAGCAGCATCTTCGAATTCTCGATACAAAACAAGAGAAGCGCGATCGCGCTGCGCCGTATTTTTGGCATACGACAAGTGAAGCGCAATAGCACTTCGCTGGACTCAAACGGTAAAGTAATTATTTTGCTCTAATAGGAGATTTCTATAAAATTATTTGATTTCAGAATTTCCGAAGACATTTGTTATTTTGCATGTTGAAGGAATTTACTGGAATACAACTACGTTGCTTCTTAAAAAAAAAAAAAAAAAAAAAAAAAAAAAAAAAAAAAAAGTGTATTTGTTTGAACTGTATTTTAATTTATTCTCAATTCTTTATTCTAATACACTCACTAAGCTAGGTAAAAATATGAGACAGAGAATTAATTTTGTATTTTAAAATCCTTCAGGAATGTTCTTAAAAGCGTTTCAGTGTCTTAAGCCAAACTTCCAATTATCTGAAATCTATAAATTAATCTCTCAGCCTTTAAGGGGGACTCATACACCTTAAAACCCATAAGATGTTCGAATAGGTGACTGTTGGAAGAATTGGGATAACTTATTTATTTTAAAAGCAATTACTACCAACGTTTTACAGCTGACTACATAATATAGCTGCTTTCTGAAATAGTAATCAGAAAGCTTGTGTTGCCACAAATATTTTTATAATTTAATCCGCTTTGTGACAACATTTTTCGTCATGTTTCCAACTTGCGCGCACAGTTTTTTATAACATGTGAAAACTACTGTGAACCTAAAATTCTAAAAATTTCATGTTAAATTTTTATTTTATTTGGAGTTGAGTTAATAAAATGTATTTTATTCAAAAAATTTGTGATGTTTCCGTCCATAAAAGTTTTTAATATTAAAATATTCATCAGACTGTTGGTTCAGTTAGAAAATGGTGCCCATATAAAGAATTCCATTCAATTTCAAGTATGTACCATTAGCCATTTTTAAAATATCATGCGCGCAAGGTGGAAACATGGCGAAATATTTTGTCACAAATTACAAAAATATTTGTGGCAACACAAACTTTCTGGTTGCTAGTTTCCAAAGCACCTATATTATGTAGTCAGCTGTAAAAAAATTGGAAGTAATTGCTTTTAAAATAAATAAAATATTCCAATTCTTGCAACAGTCACATATTCGAAGATCATGAGCAGTTTAAGGTTTGAGTCCCCTTAAACCCAAAACAGTTTGATTTTAGCAAATAAAAGTATTTAATATTGAACAAAAAGATTTTGAATTATGAATTCATTCAATCCAGCTAAGTATTTACTTCTTAAAAGTTTTCATAGTTTATGTTTTAAGCTTTCATGATGAATGAAAATTAGTCGAAAGAAATTTTCGTTTTGAATGTTCTTTTACAAGTACACAGAAAGTAGAAAGAAACCTGTAGATAGCGTGTTTCTACTTTTGTATTTTTGTTTATTTACACTTCTTAATTTTATTGCACTCCTAGTAATTAAGACAGTCCTCATTATTGACACAGAATTCTCACTTCAAATGACTGGCAAGGAATTTTCGTAGCAAAAACAAATGCTATTTTTAAAATTAAACACTTTAGAGTTATTCGATTCTCCTTCCCATGCTTTAATGCGGGATTATTCAGAAATAAATTGTTTTCCTTTCTCTCATTAATAAATTTCTAATTCGTCTTGAGAGAACGATTTTCATTTCCTAGCAAATTCAACTCTAACTATGGAATTCGTTCTTGGGATTTCATAGTTGTCTTTATTACTAGCATGTTTTCTTATGTAAATGTCATGTAGGCCAGTGTAGAAGAACCCCAAAATTTAGATTAAGATAATTTAGAATTCTAAATTATCTCAATCTAAATTTTGGTAATTAATTAAAAAATTCTAAATTATCTTAATCTAAATTTTGGTAATTAATTAAAAAATTCTAAATTATCTTAATCTAAATTTGGAAAAAAAAAATCTTAATCTTAATTCTAAATTATCTTAATAATCTAAATCTTAATCTGAATTTAGATTAAAATAATTAAGATAATTCTAAATCATCTTAATCTAATTAATTAATAAATTAATTCTAAATTATCTTAATCTAAATAAAATCTTAATCTAAATTATCTTAATCTGAATAAATAAATAATAAATATAAATTAAACAAAATTTAGATTAATTTAGATCATCGTTTATTTTCTATGGAAAAAATTTCCCAATTTTTTCTTATCATTTACTTACATTTCTTTTTATCCGAATAGTTGAAATAACAGTTGACGGCTTGGCAAGTAGAGTTCTGCCGTATATACACGCCCAACGTATAACTAAAATACTGTCTCTTGCAGAATGATAGCGGAAAATATTAATAAAATTTTATTAGAGTGATATACTAGATACAATGAAATTCATAAGATAAATTCAAAAATAAAACAGCTAAAAATCTAACATATTGTTGCGTTTTTTTTTTCTTCTTTCTGACACCAGTTGTTACTTTATTTTCTTCCTTCACGTTCGTACGGGGTTCGTGAGGATTTGGAGTGAATAATGACGACACTTGATGAAGTATCGAAACACACTTTATTTACCAATATGAATCAGGACAGCTCCAAAACACGTTTTTACAGTCGTCGATGAACTACTTACTATAAACATGCTGACACGATCAGCGACACAGCCTTCAGGTTATCAGGCTTTCACGGTGGAGATGGCTTCACTGCAAAGCACCAGAATACAGGTCTCGACTCTGCTCGGTCGTTCTTGGAACTCCACGTACTCTCGAGACTCTCCACTCTACAACTCGCGATGCATTCGACGACACACAGAGCACGGCTCCCGGTTCAGTCGTTCCCGGAGCTCAACACGCTCTCTCGACGATGCACTAACTGCGATACACTAATAGACCCCTTCGGTGAACTCGACGACCCACTCGGCACTCGCTGCCCAGCTGTCAACTCGATCGACTCCGCAGGGATTGACTCGCTAGACGAGACACCAACTCTCTATATATATAACTAACTCGCACTCCAGACGAGGCACTCTGACTCGCCCTCTCGATGAAGCACACTGAATGCGGACCAGCAGGGTTTATATAGCTTTCGGCTGGTGTTCGAGAACATTCTGGGCTAAACCGGTAAGAATTCGTTCCAGAAAGTTCTCCATCCGACCATGGCATATCACCTATTTTGTCGCAAAATGGGCGATTTCGCCCCAAATTTGGCAACCTTTACCCTCCTTTGCCATTTTCTGGCAACCCTAAAACTGCTTTTCGGGGAAGCCATCTTACCGCGCCTGTGCATTTCATAACAATATGAAATACATTAAAATACGTAATATTAAAATGCAATAAAATTTCTTAAATTCCGTTAAACGGGGTCAGATTAAATAATAACCATTACTCTAGCTTAAATACCGAAATAAACAAAAACTAGTATCTTTTCTTACTCATAAGCCAAATAAAAATCACCAGAATACTTATTAGGAAGTCTGTTAAAGAATCAACGATCTATGAAATAAGTTGCACTATAAGGGCTCACGCTCAACTTTCGAAAGGTAATTATGATTATGTGATCAATACTTAGGCGAGAATGTTGACGAATTCAGTATCTTAGTTACTTATCTGTACTACCCACTTTAAAAAATAATTTAAATATCAGTTTTTCGAACCTGATTTTAAGTGTTTTATTCCTTTAAAATATACTCCAGTCTCTAAACTAAGTATTGAATAATAAATCTTATTTCATTAAATAAATGCAAAAGTTTTTAACGTTGCATTTATTTAATTTAGGATTAATAACGTTGCATTAATTTAGGAATTGTGTTACAGTTATTCTTTTCCCCTTGCTATCGCTAATTTGAATCCCTCGATTCAAACACGCGATTTGAATCTTAAATATTCTTGGATTAAATTTTTATACTAGTAGGCCTGTTCTTACTGCTTATTTTCAATTGTTAAACTGGAAAATTTCTTATAATTTTCAAGTTCTTTTTAATATTTTAACATTTTCTGTATATGTTTCATTATTTGAAAAAAATTATGCTAAATTCGTTTTGACTTTAAGATTGCAGTTTATGTACGCATTTATAATTTTTCAGAAATCCTTGATAGATAGCAGCTCGGAGAATGGCCTAAGATTGTCATCTTTGCAAGGAAGCATCAAATTCAGTGATGTATATTTCAGTTACCCAGCAAGAACTTCTGTTCCGGTAAGCGTCATGAAAGACTATCGTGTATGTCTTGTTCTCTGAGTAATGAACGTGGTAGTCATTTCTAAAAATTTTTTTGACAGGTTTTGAGAGGTTTATCTCTGACTGTTTCTCCCGGCGAAACGGTTGCTTTAGTTGGTGCCAGCGGCTGCGGAAAAAGCACAGTGGTACAGCTGATTCTCCGATTTTATGACGCAGATGCTGGAAGTGTGAGTGCATCGCCTTTTATAACATTTTTGGACTATAAGTGTTTTTCGTTTATTGAAATGGACAGTAATTAAATATGGGTTATACTATGCAAGATTCTGTAATGTCTACTTTAAAGTTGGATGTGAACAATCTTAAGAAATGATAAGCGAATAATCGCTCGAGTTCATGGTACAGGTGACAGGTTACGGAGGACGGGGACGCCGGGAGACGCCTTTAACAGAGATAAAACAGGCATATGTCCCTCGCCCTCCCCTATCTATTGGCAGCAACTCCCTGGAGCCTCATGAGGCCACCTCGGGAGTTTATTGAAGAAGTTTACGTAATTGGGCATGGCCATACAGGGGCGTCTTAAGAATACGAGTTCGTGGTACAGGTGACGGAGGACGGGGACGCATGGTATTTAACATAGGTAAACAGGCGTATGTCCCACGCCCTCCCCTATCTAGAGACAGCCTCGGGAGTTTATTGATAACTGATAACTGATAGCACTGTTGCTGACGGTGTTATAGTATTACACATAACCGATAGCACTGATGAAACTTTTATGAAGATGCTGGTATGTCACAAAGACGTAAATAATGTTGTATACACATTGATGAGTACACGTTGATTAATACACACTGGTAGATACACATGGACCTTATAAGAAATAGACTAACCCAGTGGGCGGGGCGTGCGTCACACACATGTCGGGAAGAGAGAGTAGAGACGATTTAGTTTATCGTAACATTGAAACATATGGCGTTTGTATCACATAACTCTTTTTAATTATTAAATGTGATACGTTGTATAAATGATGAGATAATAAAAATAACAGTTTTTGCTAACAAGATTTTATATATCTCATGAAACCACTTTTTAGTGCATTTTGAGTATTTTTTTTTACTGCATTTTGAGCATAAGCGTAATTCTTGTCTAAACATCATTACTTTGATAAAACGGTAAAATTTCTAATCAAAAAATTTATGTATTTACTTTTGCCTACAAATAAAGTAAAATTAAGTAAGATTGATAGTACATGATGCTATGAAACAAATAAGGTAAAATTAAACAAGATTTGGTAATTTTTTAAAAATTTTATGAACATTTTCAGGCAGTTAGTAGCAAATATTTATCATTTCAAATGTTTATAGAAACCAAGGATTGTTTTATTTGTTTTTTCTGTTTTCAAAATTATTATGGTATTAAAAGATGATCATTTATGACAATATTAATAACTCATAAAATTCGAAGCATAAACTTTTCTAAGTGTAATGAAAAATTTTAAAAAAAAATTCGCAGTAAATAAAAAAAATCTTATGCGGAACTAGAAATAAGTTTAAAAAAAATAATTACTATAAAATACAAGATATTATATGTCCAATCTTAAATTTTTATTAATGCACCTAAAAGTAACCTTGTAATTTATATACCTGTAAATACTTTAAGCAGCAGAATGACTATACATCCATAAATACATATGTATGAAAGTAAAACAATTTAGGATATTTGTTGCATTGAAAAATTCGTTTACTTCACTTTTATTTCAAATATTTGTGAAAACAAGATTATATCTATTTATCTAGTAATGTAAATACACACACCTATATATATATATATATATATATATATTTAGAGAGAGAGGAAGAAAAACAGATAATATGGTTTATTGATGCTTAAATAAAATTAATTTAGTAAATCTGCTTCGAATATTTTCTCTCTGTTTAGATTCATTGTAACATGCAACTGCATGATGCATTCTGATTTTTAAATATTGAAATATCACTGCTTTAATTAATTTAATCAGGTGGTTTTTTATCTCGCTCATCATCATAAATATGGTCTTGAAGAGAAGGAAATATATGTCTTCCTAGGCTTTTTAAGACTTTGAGTCATGAAATTTATAATATTTTTTTTATTCAATTTAAACTCCTTTTCAGTCTGCCAAAAAATTATTTCTGCATTTTTGCAGATCATTCGGACGTCACTGGAAGGAGAAGTCAAACCTTTACATCCAGATTTATAATATTTGAAACCTAGCAAACCATCATATGGTTCTGTAGAAACTAAAGCTGAGAAACAGATATTACATTTTACTTTATAAGCTAAGCTTTAACAACAAAAACCAGCTATATAAGATGTATACTTTTCGTTCTTAAATATTCTTATTTTTGATTAGTTATAATGCTAGGAATTTAAAATTTACCTATAATTTAAAAAAGCAGCAAAAAATTATAAATTTTAAAGAAAAACTTTCAAAAATTCATTTTTAGGCATTTTAGTATTTAGCTATAGTTTAGTATTAGTTATAGTTTTAGTAACTGTAAGAGAAAATTACTTGGATGGATGAATTTTTCTGCTAGTTCAGATTTAAAATATTATTTTCTAAAAGAAGAAATTACAAATTCGCTTACATCATAGGAAAAGCTAAAAATATATACAAGCCTGAAAGCATGCAACAGCTTTATAATTATTTAGAACGTTAATTATGCTTGAAAACCATGCTAAGTATTTAAAAAGCAATCTCAGTGTCAAAAATAAAAATATTTAAAAATTCTTACTTGTGAAATGAGGCACTACCACCAGCTTTTTCGTGACAATTGTATGCGCTGCTATAGCCAACTATTGCTAATTTCTGGAAATCGTCCCTACTCCTCCGGATGTGATCAAGGTGACAGCCGGGAACGCGCCAGACAAGGGAGAAAACGCAATTGGGTTAGTCTATTTCTTATAAGGTCTATGTAGATACATTGATGACGTAATACTGAGAATGCACTGAGGAATGCACACTAACTTGCAAACTCTAATGAAGAATACATTATGTGAAGATGCTGGGATGTCACAAAGACGTAAATAATGTTGTATACACATTGATGAGTACACACTGGTAGATACACTGATGAGGATACACTGAAGGATGCACACTAAGTTGTAAACACTAATGAAGAATATATTATGCACTGTTGACACTTATGAAGAATATATTATGCACTGTTGACGCATTATGACACTTAGGTAAAGATACTGCTATTGCACTACGACGGATACATGGATGAATGCGCACTGATGTGTACATTGATGAATGCACTGAATAATACACACTGTTGAGTACACTATGGAGGAGTGTACTATTGACACTAATAACACTGTTGAGTACACTGAAGATGTTGATGAGTACACTGATAAGGTAAGTTATCAGTGTACTCATCAAGCCGGTGTACAGATTCATTATTAAGAGCATGGCACTCATGATACTGAGTAGAAGCACTAATCGACAGAACTGGGACACTGATGGATTGGTGCACTATTGCGTACTGATGGAATAATACATTGATATGTGTGTTAATGACGAGCTGAGAGGCGATTGGCAGATTCAGTGAGGTAACAAATCTATTAAAATCAATTAAAACAAATCTAACAAATCTATTGGTGGTTTGGCTGGGGAGATGATGAGCAGTTGTCAATTCACATTCATAGAGGTAATGAACCGGGGGGGCCGTGACCGCCGCAGACGTATTGGTCAGTTACAGATATATTGCGTTGTATGAAGTAACTGGGGAATGGGCCATGACCTGTTATGAATTGTGTAAGCCTGTGGAGCTGAGGTTCCACTCTCTCTGCCATAGCTGAAGGGCACTGTTTTCTTAGGATACTTTTCAGATGTGAGGGTGGTGCTGGGAGTTCATGGTACAGGAAACAACAAGTAAGAAGGGTGAAATAACCCTTTATTATTCCAATGAGGTGTCTCCGTCTTGGAGAATTCAGTCTTGGAGTTGTACAATAAAGGCGACACTCGGGCTTGAACTTAAGAAATTAAAAACTAAACTAATCTTAACTAAAAAGATACAGCCGAAGCTATCAAAATTCTAACAGAGTTGGCCCTTTAACGCTGAACTGAAAAACTCACAAGGGCCTGAAGCAAGGCCGAGTGTAATAATAGCTTAAGCGAGAGTAGTCTAAAAAGGCGGACGCGTGCTAGCCAGAATCTCTGGTTCTCTCTGACTAAGACAGTAGAACTTCGCGGCTCAATACCGCTTTTCCTTAATTTGCATTGAAACGTGACTCTAAAACTACGTTCTGGCCGGAAATTGTAAGTTGAAATTCAGAAATGATAGGAAAGGAAGTTTACCTCAAAAATGAACTGTTAGATAAATTAATAATATCCATTATTAAGAGCTAAAATAAAGGAATATTTTAGCTATTAAGAGCTAAAATAAAGGAAGCTAAAATAAAATAAAGCTTTATTAAACTAAAAGGATTTTACGTTAAAAAAATAGGGGGAATCGCAAAACTTTCAGATTTTATATTACGCCCAAAAGAACGTTTTTTAACTCTTTTTGTGCACCTTGATTGATTAAAAATTACGTTCTTCACACATAAAACACAAAAAATTCAATTCAACAGCAATATCACAAAATATTAAAAACAGCATATCTTCAGAATTTCCGATATACAGTCTCGCGCACTGGAGATAATTTTTTTTTTTTTTTCAATACAGTGTTGCCACTACTCGCTTTGAAATCCTTGAGTTTGTTAATCAAAAATTTGTTAAAGTTTTGCAAAATAAAAAAATTGATAATAAAAAAAATAAAAATCTGAAAGCTTTTAGATTTTACAATACACTCAAAAGAACGTTTTTTTAACGTTTTGTGCTTTACCTTTATTTATTAAATATCATGTTCTTCGCACTTAAACCATAAAATTCAACTCAACAGCAATATCGCAAAATATATTTTAAAATGGAGCATATCTTTAGAATTTCCGATACAGAGTCTCGTCTTTTGGAGATAAAAATTTCCCCCCTTCGTAAAGTGTTGCCATTGCTGGCTTTGAAATCGTTGAGTTTGTTATAAGAAAATTCGTTAAATTGTTAATGAAACCGATAATAAAACAAATTCCAAATTCGGTTTCTAGATGCCCGGTTCTATTCGGTGGAGGATAACGTTATTCAAAATTGGATGGCTCTAGGTACCGTTGTTTTATCACAATGCGAGAAACATAGATTCTTCATCATTTAATTTCTTTAAATATAACACAGGGCGATAATATTTGGTGGCAACAATTTGAAAAGTGAAACAGACATTTAAAATTTTCAAAGGAAAATGCCAAAACAAAATTTTAATAGCCCTAAAATAAATAAATAAATAAATAAATAAATAAAAAATAAAAATAAAAATAAAAAAATAAAAATAAAAATAATAAAAATTTACACAGAAAGTAGATATTATACATTGAGGCTATGAGTATATCCTTCATTAACAAAAACAAAGTCCATTGGATTATTATTAACATATAAGCATTATTATCATTGTCAATTATTCATTATGCCGAATTTTAAAATGAAAGAACAAGAGAAAATAATTTGTTTTTAATTTCAGATTTTGTATCCATCATTTTTATTTCCCGCATTAAAAGTAAAATTTTACTATGTTATCTTGTTTTTCGTTGCATTGATTTGTAAACTGATTCAGTATTTTGAGGAATCATGTACTCTATTTAACAGTACAAATACGAATTGAATGAGTTGGAATCATCAAAACGTCAAACAGAAAACAATCTAAGGAATAAGGTTTCCCTTGAACATAATGGACTGAATTTTGGTAAAGATACTTTCGTATAAAATATAATTCATGCAGGAACTATAAATTTATATACATTATATACAGCGGCTGAGTTATAAAGGAGGCCGTTTTTCATACCTTTTAAATGTGAATTCCATGTGCTGTTTTTAATTACACATATGTGGTAAGGTACTATTTTCCTCTATACGCGAGTGATTAATCGCTTAAGTGATTTTTATATTTACGAGAATTTTTATTTATTCTTTCCTGAGATATATACAAAACACATATTTAAATTAAAAATTTTTATGCAAGTGTCGACATCCATGATATATAATGCGGATATCCTTCGGTAAAATATTAAAACAAAATTGTTCGTTTAGGGCTTAATATTATTTATGAAGAAGATTTGTTAAACACTTCCGATTTTATAATAAATGGTATAAATCCTCCTTTTTTATCGAAATTTCTAGAAAAATTAAGAAACGCATTAAGAACGCGTCAACACATTAAGAAACGCGTCTTTTTAGGGAAAAAGATTTCATGATTTACTTTCAAAACGAAGCTCTTTTTTTTTTTTTCACCCTCTAAAGCTCAGATACTTTTGCTAGTTTAAAATTCATTGCAAATTACGGCGGGACTCATGGGTTATTTTTAATTTCTGATTATTGAAAGGGTTTCCCAGGGTGCACTATAAGAGGCGTCCGATATTACATCCGCAAGGAGGAGGGAAATATATATCGCGCAGCGTGTGAGCCCCAGAGGCATCTCACATCAGTCTTGACTGCAGTTCTCAAGATGAACGCAGGAGAAGGTAGAGAGCAAGAAACCCGGATTTTGAAAGATCGAATGCATTAGGAGTAGATAAAACTACAATGAGCTGGAACGTAAATAACAGAAGTAAGGTGAAATTACACGTTTGGAGAGTTTCTTAAGTGTGAGAAACACCTACTCGTCCGGATAACTGAACGAGGAACCTGTCAAAAGAGGTTTTAAATAATAAATGCAAGGGAAAATAAAATAAAATGAATGAAATGTTAATTTTACAGAAATGCCAATACAAATTGAATAAAAATAAAAATAAAAATAATAAAAGAAATACAATTTACCAATAAATTAGCTCTTAGAGGGAGAAACTATGTACAACATGGAAAGGGGAAATTTATGCGAAACTAGATTTTTTTTTCTTAATTCCTACTATTAGCTCACACTCTTCCTATATCTTGCTCAAATTTTGAGTCGTTAATAAAATACTTTTTATTCATCCATTCAAGTTCAAATACATTTTTTTAAACTTCTAGTGGATGACATTTGATGTCAATACAGTTTTTACAGTTTAGAAAAAATTTTACTAAAAAAATGTTCCAAGTTTTGCTAGTTTAATATTCCCATACGTTTAAATAAAATGTTAATAAAGATAATAAAAAGTAACTAAAATAAAAAATTATCTTTGTTGGCCTAAGTAGGAATTAATTGATTTAAAATTAATTTTATATTACTTGTTTAATATTCAATTTTTCGTCAAGTGAAACGTTATTTTTGAGCAAACTGTTTCGGTTTTCAGGTGCAGCTAGATGGACATGACGTGAAGGACTTGAACATTGGATGGCTGAGGGATAATATAGGCCTCGTTGGTCAAGAACCGGTCCTATTTTCAACAACCATAGCTGAAAATATAAAGCTGGGTAAACGCGGTGCCACGGACGAGGAGGTTATCGCAGCTGCTAAAATTGCAAACGCTCACAGTTTCATTGAGGCCTTACCTCTGGTAAATTTTTGTATTGTAATCTGTATTGCATTCGCATTAATTAATAAAATGTATAATACATTTGTAGAGACATTAGGTACTTTTTGATGCAGGAAAGATGAAAAATGAGCAAACGCCTTCGCCGGGAATCGAACCACGACCTCTGGAATACCGGCCCAGCGTGCAGAACCACTACACCACGAAGGCACGCTAGGAAGGCGGGAGAAATACCTTATATACTCCCCTTTTAAAAGGCGACTGGGGTTTTTTAGGAGACCCAATCGCCAAATCCTGGATGCGGAGAATCATCATCCAACACCCTTTTAGTTCGGGCGCCACCGTAGAGACATTAGGATTTTTTGGAAGTAAAAGAGATGAAAAATTAGCAACCCTTCGCCGGGATTCGAACCACTGATCTCTCAATACGCGCTGAGCGTGCAGACCACTACACCACGTAGGCATGCTAGAAAGGTGGAGAAATACCTAATGTCTTATACTAAGCTTCGCAACAACAAAGATAACGCCGCCTTTTATTATTGCAAATTAAATCATGCTTAATCCATTCCGGAATTTATTCGAGGAAATAAGTGTTTAAGATTTACTTCGTAATTTTTAATATAGATATTTTGAGATTTTATGTATTTTGGCCTTGTCGCGGAGTGAGAACTGAATTAATTGAATGAGAAATACTAAACCATCTGTGAAAAAGTGTTTCTTTTTTGTTTGCTCAATTTCTTTTATACATTGTTTTAGATTTATTGTAGTATTTGAATAGAACATGTGGCAACGATTAGCGAATTCTTCAAATGATATAAATTTTGTGCATTCTGAGTTATAATATGAACGAAATATAATACTGTTAAGTGAACCTAGCGTCAGAGTGTTGCTATGGTAGGTAAACAAATATAGTGAATTTTAAAGAGTACATTTTTTCTATTGTAGTTTATGCGCTATCGATGAGGTAGATTTAATCCAGTCCAATAAGTTTAAATGAAATGCAAGAAAAAATGCGTATAATTTAATATTCTGCACAGGGAAATCATGTGGTGTACACATCAGATTTTTTACTTTAGTGAACAATCTTTTAGTTTATTGCCAAAATCATCGCAGAGTTTGAACATCTATCTCTCTTTCTCCTTTTAAAATACAATATTATTATCTTATCTTCATTCATGCAAAGATCTGAGATCGTAAATATTTTTGGATTATTTCTTTTAAAAATTCTTCTTTTTAAATTAAAAAATGTTTTACCTTTCTGGAGATGCCAAAGTCCACTCGTCCCGCACAATGTAACACCTTCCGGACATGGAGGTAAGATGGAGTCGCCCTAAACAGGTTTCTCCCGTACCCTGCTCTGAAGCACTGGCGATCCCTACGTGGTGACCAAAACATTGGGTCATTTACCATTAAGTTCAATGGGTTTTGACGCGATCGGATGTAAATATTTTGTAATTACGTCGTAAATATACATATAAATGTATATATTTTCTTTTTCTACAACACTTCAGAGTCTAAGTATATGAAAACACATATTTTTAAACAACATTTCATTCTGAACGGAATTAAATGCTATACTTTCACAGGACAGTTTTCTCAGAATGGTTTAATTTGAATGAAATATTTTCACAAGTTTTCGTTAATTACATTAGAAAAAAAAATTAAGGTAATTCGATTTTATTCGGTTAAGGTACAAAAATTAAGATCAAAGTTTATTGTATTATTAATATTAAAATTATGCATTATTTCTTTTCTATTTATAGAGCTTCTTCCTAAAATACTTTCTTAAATATGACATGATTTTTTGGCTTCTGAGGCATCTTTTAAATCGAAAAATATAAGTCAATTTATAATTAATGCTCTATTCGGTTCATTTTAAATTAGAGAATTATTAGAAATTAGCGAAATACTTTAAATAGTACTTAACTTTCTCTGAACATTTCTGAAAGGGAATAAAATAAGTTTTTTTTTTTTTTTAAGTATTATTTAAAACTTGTAACTGAGTTATTATAAAATGTAAGGGGAATAATCTTTTAATTATACTTATCAGATTTTTTTTTACCTTAATTTCAACAATACATATTCCAAAACTCTTTATTACTTTCTTAGTGCGCATCTCATAGCATTTGCTTTACATTGCCTTTTAACAGATTGCTTTCCAGTACGAACAATTCTTGCTTAAATAGTTTTATAACGTATTTGTCAACAGGATTTCAATTTATGTTTACAGTTCAATATTAAGGTTATTATATATTTAGATAACATTTATAATCATTATAAATTAGATACATTTAATAATTAGATTTCTTCACAGTTATTACAGATTTCTTCACAGTTAATGAATAAATTCTTCTTTTCAAATGCATTTATAAATAATTTAATGAATATTTATGTATTTTGTTAAAGGCAGATACATGCTTTTTGCTAGCACATGCATGAATACCCATACATATTTCATATTTTTCATTTCCGGCATGTGCAAATCTTTAATTTCTGTGCATTCACTATATTTTATTTTAAAGTAATTAACCCAAATAAGTAAAAACGTTGTAATCCCAAAGTGATTTATTTTTCAGATATATAAAATTAAAATGATGAGTTTAAAATGAGCAGCAATAAAGCCTCTCCTGTAACAAAATTTAAAAGGCATATGTTACAATACTTATGGATGTGAAAAAAAATTTATTTCATTTAAACATTTTGGCGTTTGGAACATAAATAAAAAGTAGCGAATACTCTATCAGTTGGTATCAAAAGACGTTATACAATTTTAAAGGTACCGTAAGGTATTTTTCATTCTTTAAGCATAACATTTTCTTAAAATGTATATTTTTTTAGTGCAACAGCTTAGAATTTTATAAAACAAATTCATAATCAAAATCGCTGTTGTTAGTTATCGAAAAATAACCAAGATGTGATTTTTGCGTAAATGTCACTAAACTATACAAATTGCTATTATCCATCACACTATGAATGTTTCTTTCATGCGAAAGTGTCCCTTTTTCGATTTTGTATGGAACTGTCGTGTGTCGAAATACTATCAGAACACTGTCAAGCGAGCTTCTGAATGTAAACAAAGAACACCCCATCTGGTGACCGAAGCTTCGAAGCAGTGCTTCACTTCTAGTGCCGGTTGGCCACTCCTTCCTTTCTTACCTCCATGCTTTCAGAAGGGGGGTAATGATGATTGATGATTTCGCGGAAACATTAATGATTTTGACAACCGCGGAAAAAGAAAGCACCGATTACTAGAGAAACTGTTTGACAAAGCATTTTAACGCATTTCTGCGACGGTCAAGTACGTAACAGAATTTTATATGAAGTGTGAGGGAAACATTGAAATAATGGATTTGTTTAATTTATTAATAGCAATATAACACGTTAGTCGGAGAGCGTGGAACACAACTGAGTGGAGGCCAAAAGCAAAGAATAGCTATAGCTCGTGCTCTTGTCAGAAATCCGAAAATTCTATTATTGGACGAGGCTACCTCTGCCTTAGACACAGAAAGCGAAGCCGTTGTGCAGTCAGCTCTCGACCAGGTGCGTGAGTGACGTATTTAGTTCGCAAATGCTTTTAAAAATGAAAATGTTTTTTTAATATTTAAGTTAAACTTGTTTCCTTCCCTTTTTACAGGCCAGATTAGGACGTACGACGATAATTATAGCACATCGTCTTTCCACGATCAAAACTGCAGATAAGATCGTGGTAGTATCGGACGGAGTTATCAAAGAAGTAGGCACTCATGACGAATTGATGGACATGAAAGGAAGTTATTACCAACTAATCTTAACTCAGGTAAATGATTTCAGATTTTTCTTAACCTTTCCGTTACTTTTCCGGGTACTTTTCCGTTTTGCCGGCACAAGCGATAAAGTCGCCAATAATGGTACAACTGATGCTAAACGGAATATCCTCGCTGGTAACTTTTTACGCCTCATTTTCAAAACAAGTTGCAGCCATTTCTTATCAAGATTGATTATTTTCTTCAAAATGGCCTTAAATTACATATAATTTTACCAGATATTCAATTTTTCCCTAAGACTATTTCGCGGTAATAAATCAATAGGAAACAATCACCACCGCTCACCCGAAGACGAAAAATGTAAAGGCAAATTAAGGGTTCGATTCATTCATTCGAATGGAATGCACAGCGAAGTAAAGCACTGCGTTTTACATAATTTCTGAGTAAGCTATTCGTACGAAGTTAAAAATTTTGCATTTAAACTTGTATTCAAACTAAGATTAAATTGAAATTAATGTAGATAATTACTGAGAGAATTAGATTTTTGTAGCGTAGTTTACGTGAGATGAGATCTCTTGGGGTCACGTAATAAAAACGGGTGAATCAGGATGCTGAACCATGAAAGCATAGTAAATTCTTAAATTAATGTCCTTTTACAAATTTATTGTCTTTATTTATCGGCTTTTTACAAAATTTTAAGAGCTACTAAAATGTTTATGCCTTCAAAATAAAAAATTCTTAGAACTAACATTTGTTAGCATTTTTTATGTGTACACTGTGTGTTGTCACCAAAAAAGTCTGCTTGGCGAGATTTGCGCCTGCGAAACGGAAAAGTACCATTATTTTATAACTGCTGTGTTATTAGCATTGTTCTAGCATAGGTATTTAATTTTTCTGAAATGACATGCCTTTTTTTATCATATTTCGAGTCTACAACTCAAATTATGAGTAAATATTAAATTTTGTAAAATTTGGTGCGAAATTTACGGAGGAATTCAAAAATTTATCTCGGCGCGTTTTTTTTTTTTTTTTTTTTTTTTTTTTTAAGTTTGCGCCAAGTATAATTACTTGGCGAACTTCTTAATTTGTTGCAACTATCTTCCGTTCCTTTTTTTTCATTGTAGACGAGGGCCCACCAGCGGCCGAGCGGTAAAGTCGCTGAACACTGGTAGTTCGGTCCGAGGTTCGAATCCCGCGAACGGGCTGGCTGCATGGACGTTTTCGTGGTTTTCCCCCATGTGTAACGTGTATACGAGCCAGTTTCCCTTAGAAAGTCCTCCACGAAGGCATCCCTCCCCTTAGGCAGATAGCCCTCGAGGCTTTGCCATAATCACACACACACACACACATTGTAGACGAGGAGAAAAAAGTCATTGTTCATACTTTCAAATAATTTTAGCGAAGTGCGTAAACCACATGTGGCGTTATTTTCGCTCAAAAAAGATGCCAAATTTCAAAACACGCCAATATGTTAATTCGTGTAAATCTTTAAAAATTTTTAATAAAAAACTCTAATTTTTTGCGCTTGGAAATACATATATTTTAAGATAATGGTAAGGTAAAGGTAAAAAATTTATAGATATATTCAAATTGTTTTTAAAAAATTTATAAAAAATTATAAAAAATACAAATTTAAAAATCATAAAAATTGTTCGAATTTTATTATTAAGCCTAAATTTCGAATTCTGGAAGAAGGAATCAAATAAAAAAAGAGATATTAATAAATATTATCAAAATAAATTACATTGAGAGTCAAATTTGAGAGCTAATGTTTTAAAAACTACTCGTGCGATTTTTACATTACTTGGCAGTTTTGCATAATTTGAGTAATAGAATCCAAATATGGAAAAAAATTGGCATGTCATTTGAGAAAAGTTCGATTTTGTGTCAAAATACCTCATTTGACTATTTTTGACCTTTTTCAAGACATTTTAAAAATTTCAAGGTAATTGAAGTTCTCGCTTTTTACCAGAGCCTGTTTACTGTTCTCGTTAACTTAGAGATTAATTAAAATTTTTATTTATGGATTTAGATATTTTACTAAAAAGCACGTCCAAACTGACATTTAGGATTTCTTACTTGTGTAACCTTGGGTTTGATTTCGGTAGTGTTCTGTTTTCAAAACCTTTTTACAGGTATAAATGCTCAATGTAACTGTTGTTGGAATCGTTTTGAATTGCTTGGTTAATGACATGCCTTTTTTTCTCATATTTCATGAGAGCCATTTGTCTTAAATCTGTTATTTCCAGCAGTTAAAAAGTTTAAATAAGTGTATATAACATAGTTAAACAAAATTATGTATTTAATTTTTTTTACAAAAAATATGTATTTTATTATTTAAAATCACTAATTTTTTGTTTTCTGGAAATGGTTACGAGTACCTGTGTCACATTGCATTTGAATTCATGGTTTGGATAGAGATTTCCCAGTTAAGTATTTTTTTTTTTTTTTTTTTGCTGGAATGCGTCGAGATTACTCGCTCGTCATAAAATGTGTACTTTCCTCTAAGGAAGCAGAACACATTTTATTTCATTTCACATTGGATCAGCATTTTGCATTTACACCGCTGAACATTTATTGAACTAACTCAACCCCGGATGTATCTGAAGACTCTTAACTTGCACCTTGAGATTTATTTATCTCAATTACGAACTTTGTAACGTTAGGGTAGAAAAAGATATGCCATTTTCGTACGAGTTCAACACAGGATGTGGTTTTTATAACCCGGGTGCCTGCAGACAAGTGTTTCTAACACCTCAGTCTTCACATTGGACAGCTGGTCCACTGGATAAGCGCTCGTCGGCGGATGTTATTAACGTAAAGCAATGGCCCCTCCCCCCCAAAAAAAGTATGTGCCATGGTGCATATAAGATGTGACTTTTCAACATTTTTTACACTGACATGCATTCAGTTTCTAATTCATAAGGGTGAAGTCCTGTTATTGTGAACATTAAGAGGTTTATGCAATTAACAGTTTCTTGATAAACACATTCAGTTACTATTCGCAGTTATTGAGAAAATAATGAGATTGCACGCAGTAATTTAACTAACTCATAAATAACATTAAATTTTTTGGTACTATTCCGTTTTGAGGGCCGTAAAAAAATTGCAGCAAAAATGTATGCGCGAAAGCGCCAAATCTAGCAAACACGCCCATTTAACAGCGTGCCAAATGTAGCGTACGCGCTGATTTCAGATTACATAAGTTTATATAGTTTATATTTCTTAAGACGCCATGGAATTAATACTTAATTTTTGCCTTGACGAAAATTCTGCGACAGAATTTTGGGGTAAAGTGGGCAGAATCAATCACACACTGCTTGACGCTTTTTTAGAATAGCACATACTCGGTATCCAGACTCAACTTATTCCTTAAAAAAAGTCCAGAATGTGCAAAAATGGCATTGCGCACCCCTTGACTTATCTATGTACCACGATATTGTCACTTAAAAAGTAAAGAAAATTGACAAAAATCAATTCTTTACCCTTGTAAAAAGAGGCAACAAATAAGTGGGCGATTCTGCACTTACCGAGAATGTTTTCAAAAAGGCATCATTCATTTTAGAAATTATGTTTGAACAACCAACGAGATGACATTATGCTTAGCTTAACTCGTAGCGAAATATTATATGAAATAACTTTATAAATTAAATGGTGCATGGTGTATTTAATTATGGCAAAGCACACTAGGGCTATCTGCCTAAGGAGAGGGATGCCTTCGTGGAGGACTTTCTAAGGGAAACTGGCTCGTATATACGTTACACATGGGGAAAAACATGAAAACACCCATGCAGCCAGCCCGTTCGCGGGATCCGATCCTCGGACCGAACTACCAGTGTTCAGCGACTTTACCGCTGGACCGCTGGTGGGCCCTCATCTAAATTAAAACATCAAAATTAGATAGTTATTTAATATTGTACTTCCTTTCTTGCGTTAGGGTTGCCGCAATTACTTTTGGCAGCACTGGAATCAACAATAGTTTGGCGATTTTTTATGGCCCTCGAAACCGAATAGTACCAATTTTTTAATGTTGGGACGATGCTTTTCACGTTGGGTCGCTGTTTATAATCTCTTCCGCATTTATTCCTGAACACTCTACAGCGGTGGAAGTTAAGTCAGCCATTTCTTACCATTTTCTGTTGTAACTTATGCTCACTTGTCTGACAGTAACATCAGTTAAAGCCCATATTTAGAGTGCCCCCATGTCGCACCGACACTATACATTTACAAACATCCATGTCTTCTCCGGGATTCGAACACGGGTCTTTGGCATGGCAGTCAGCAACGCTAACCACTATACCGGTTGGCATATTTCACAAGTGCACATCTGTGTAACACCGGGACGGCTTCTAGGATGGACCCAAGGAATCTAGTAAATCTGTCATGTCGCATGACTTTTCGTGTGCTTTAAGATTAAGCAAAATGGTTGAAAATATTTTGCCACGCACTTTCTGTACAACATAATTTAAGCATTCGTTTTTTCTTCAGAAAATTTTCATGCCATATTAGTCAAAAAAGCCTTGTGAAGATTTCACTACCTGGTTGAAAGAATTTGAAAAATACAAACACATGTTTGACACTCCTCAAAAATATCCACGTGAAATATTAATAAGTGGTAAATAAGATAAGTGATAAACATCTGAGCCCAAATGCTATCTTTACATAAAACCATGCATATGAGAAAAGTATTTACACCAATATTATATATGTAAATAGAAGTCAGCCCTTTTTATTGCTGTCTACATGAAAAAGTTGGCCAATGCAGAATTTTATTCAAAGTGAACTTTTTTGTATGCGAACTAATTTGCATTCGTATATACCGGGTGGCCATAATTAAACTGTCAGTGCTCAATGTTCTGTAGCGCGATCTATTTGCGAGAAGACGCCACATTTTGTAGGAAGATTAAACAAGACGGGGCGAACAATTCCGCGGAAAAAAAAATTAATTCCAAAAGTCACCGCTGGTGGAATATTTGGCACTGTGTAATAGAAAATAGAGCGTTAACAAATGCAGATTAATACGGATAAAATTACCTTTTATTATGGATGCCGTATGGAATAGATGCCTTACAGTACAGTATGGAAAATCTTACAAAAGATAATCAACTTCTATCCGTTCAAGATCAGCCATGTACAGGAGTTACTGTACCCCGATCATGATAAGCGATTGACTTTTGCTCTCACCTTTCTAGCCAGAATGGAGGTGGATGATGCTTGGCCGTGGAAAAGTAGGGGAACGAGGCCACTTTTACCTGAATGGAACTGTTGAATCCAAAAACTGCCGATTTGGGAGACAAACCCCACATGCAGTCACAGCAATTCCCAACATTCACCAAAGGAAACTGTTTGGGTGGGTTCACAGCGAATTTATCGTAGGCCATTCTTCATGAACATTACCCCGCCAGGACCAGAAACTGTTCTGTCCGGAGAGAAATATCGCCCCACGTTGAACAGTTTGTCATTCCGGCACTTCAGCAAAGACAATGGCTGGGGGAAATTTTCATGCAAGATGGAGCCCCTTCCGCACGTTGCTGTACGGGTGCAACAGATGCTACGACAGAAATCACAACACAGTGTCATTAGCCGCCACTTTCCAACTGCATGGCACCTCGGTCGCCTGATTTACCTCATGCGACTTCTGGCTATGGGTTACCTAAGTCCAAGGTCTATAAGGAGTGGTCCAGGACCGGCTACTGAAGGATAACATCAAGTACTGTACGGGACATTCTGAAGACATGTTACTTTGCTGTTGTGATGGCAAGATGCAATATGTGGTCCACAACAAGGCAGCCACATTGAACCTCATTGAATGCAAAATAAAAGGTAATTTCCGTATTGATTTGCTTTGTTCACTCTATTTTCTATACACAGCTCCAAAATTCCCCTAGCGGTGACTTTGGAACTATTTTTGTTTCGTGGAATCCTTCGTCCCCCGTCTTGTTTATCTCCTACAAAATATGGCGTCATTCTCGCAAATAGATCGCGCTACAGGACACTGTGAGCAATGTCAGTTTATTATGGCCACCGTAATTAGTGTGTTAACGATATATCAATTTATTTCATATGTAATTTTATGTTAACAATGGATAATGAGGTTATATACAATACGTATTGGTCTTACACTTTAAAAATCAAAAGATGCAAGCACTGAAATAAGAAAACACTAGTTTGATTGAAAAACTCCAGCTTCTCAGCTCAATTAAAAAAATAAATAATAAATAATAAATAAAAAAAACTATACACTGAGTTCTCTTAATCCAAGGTGTTGGTAAATGCAAATATATTCGGGCAATTGTAGTTGTCTTTTGTCGATGTGTGAATCGCGAAAAAATGTCAGCGAAATTAAATCATAAACAAACGAATACGAGAAAACATATCCATTATAACTGCGAAAAAAGCAAGTAAAACGAAAAAACATACCGCTATGCACGAAGAGATTTAGCGTCACAAGAGCAACAGAAGCTCATTGGTCCATTTTCGAAACCCCTCCCTCAGAAACCCCTCTCTTTCTCATTTTTACAGAAGGGGGTGAAACTGCTGCGTATACTTTTTTATTTACTGTAATAATTTAATTTTGATGTAATAATTTAAACTCTTTTTCAACAGACAAAAGAATCGGATGAAGAAGAGGAAAAAGAGTCACCGGTTTTGGAAGCACAAACAGATTCGGCTATTATTTTGAACGAGTCCAGTGAAGGTATAGAATTACAAGATTACAGCTCTTTTCGGCGACCATTCGAGAACGGATTTCATGCCGGCATGGCTGCCATTAACAAGACAGAAATACCAGTTATGGTACGTTTTATTGCAACATTCGTATTTTCATCTCCATTACCTACATTTAGCAATGATTCTTGTCTATCAACCAAATTATAAAATGATTCTCAGTATTCGTTTAAAAGTAATCGGTTATTTTGTCATGCAAGTTTTTATTAAAAGTAATCGGTACTATTTAGTTTTGAAGACCGTAAAAAAATTGCAGCGAAAATGTATGCGCAAAAGCGCCAAATCTAGCAAACGCGCCCATTTAACAGCGTGCCAAATCTATCGTACGCGCTGATTTCAGATTGCGTAGTTATATAGTTCTTATCTTAAGACGCCATTGAAATACTAGTTTAATTTTTAATTATCTTTTGATCCTATGATTTAACAATTGGAATTGTCCTGATGAAAAAGAATTTGGGAAAGTGGGCAGAATCACCCATGCTTGACGCGTTTTTAAGAATCACGAAATCGGTATCCAGTACACATCGAATTTTTTAAAAAAAAAAAAAAAAAAAAAAAAAAAAAAAAAAAAAAAAAAAAATCCAGAATTGCTCAAAAATGGCACTGGCAGTATGGACACCCTTGACTTATCTATGTACACATCGACCTATTGTCACTTAAAAGAAATTGACAAATTCCAATTGTTACCCTTGTAAAAGCGGCAAAACAATAAGTGGGCGATTCTGCACTTCAACGAGAATTTTTCAAAGGCATCATTAATTATAGAAAAAAATTATTTTGACAACCAACGAGATACATTATGCTAGCGATAACTCGGTAGCGAAACGCGATGCAGGCATCCATTCAGTTGTTTAGCAATTTTTATATAATATATAATGATTGAAGAAATAGTTATTTACTCTAATGCTTCCATTCAGTCATGTTAGCCTTTTTTTATATAAATTATAATAATAAAAAGTAGTATATGAAATTAACCTTTCATCTATTAAAAAACAGCCATCTTAGATAGTTGTTTATTATCCTTATACTTCCTTTCTTGCGTTAGGGTTGCCGCAATTATTTTTGGCAGCACTGCCATCAACAATAGTTTGGCGAGTTTTTGCGGCCCTCAAAACGGAAATAGTACCAAGAAATCTGGTGTTTGATATGTCTCAATAAGGTTCAGTTTGCTTCAAAAAAACGAAATGATAATCGTAGTAAGAGTCATTTGTCTTGCATAAATATCCTCGTTGATATTCTCTGGAAATTAATTATGCTTCGAGTAGTCTTCCTCCAATTCAGTATTGCTTAAAGCAAAGAAGTCTTTCAAAGAAAACTTTGCAATTTAGATTCACATCGTAGAAGTGAAGAGATTCAGATCAGAATCCTTACATTTACGATACAAATTTTAGTTATTTTAGAAATCCCATAACTTAAGTTCATGCAATAAAAATAATTTGATCTCTTTATAGATTTATACACGAATCTGGATTTACCATACAAAATGCTCTTAATTCAGCGTTCAAACGTTAAACCTAAATTTTGCTGGTTTGTACAGCAATCGATAGCAGTGCAATCAGTTGAATAATAATATATTGAAGTAGAAATTGTAAAATAAAATTACTATAAATACACTGGTTATTATAAATTAAGGAAAAATCACAAAAATCACGATTACTAAAAAAGTTACATGTAGAATTTTATGAAACTTACCCACAACATACAACAGATAGAAAGGTTTTAAATAACATAAAAATAAATTACCAGACAATTATGGTAGTATAGAAATTAGCACATGTATAAAATGAACATATCGAAGGTGTCAGTTTGCTATAGGAAAAGTACCTTCAATATGGAATATGGTCGCTTGTAGAAGCAATACAGCACACACAGCGATGCGTGATGCTTTTAATTATGCGGTGTATCAGTTCCTTAGGAAGCGAGAGCCATTGCTCTTGCAAAGCAGTTGCAAGGGCGACAAGCGTCTGAGGGGGCGGATTGAGCAGCTAGACGTCTCTCTAAAGCATCACAAACGTGCTTGATAGGATTAAAGTCTGGGGATCGAGCTGGCCACTCCTTGCGCATAATTTTTTCCTGTTGAAGATAATCATCTACGGTGCCAGCCCTGTGTTTTCTTGCGTTGTCGTCCTGCAACAGGAAACCATCACCTATTGCCCCGGCACATATGCGCACATAAGCATCAAGGATGTCATCTCTATAAACCGGAACATTCATGGTTTCCGTTGGAAAGACATGGAGGTCTGTGCGTCCACCCAAAAAGATGCCACCCCAAACACAGACACTGCCTCTTCTGGTATGCATCTCTTTGACGGATGTTTGACAGATGATAACGGGTTCTAGGTTCTCTCCATATCAAATAACGCCTACTATCGCTTTCTAGACTAAACCTGGACTCACCGTAAAGATAACAGCCCTCCACTGATCAGGCGTCCAGTGGACATATTGTCGTGCCCACTGAAAACGGTCCCTCCTATGGCGTGACGTGAGCGGCAAGGAAATGGCTTGTCGTCTCGCATAGAGACCACCTTCGTGAAGCCTTCTACGCACAGTTAACGTTGACACCAACCTTCCGGCGGCTGCAACAAGGGAGGATCTAAGAAGAGTCGGAGTAGAGGTTCTATTCCTGCGTGCACATAATGTCAAACATCGGTCATCGGCGCTCGTCGTAGCAGTTGGCCGTCCTTGGCTTAACCTCCTAGATGCCGAATCTAAGGTTTGAAATCGCCTCCAAAGTCTAAGAACCACAGAAGGACTCATATTTAGCCATCTGGCCACTTCTGTTTGACTTTATCCTGCCTTTAGTCTCCCAATAGCTTTCCATCGTAGTTCTGCAGGCAAACGATGCCTGGAGGTCATTGTTACGAATTGGCTATCTCACATTTCTGATGTCATTATCACAGTAAAATATGTGGGCTTCCTCTCAAACATGGACTTTTATTCTCCTCGCAGATGACGTATTCCGAGTCTAGCTCCACTAATTTGCATATTGCAGTTTTACTTAGCTACTCTTACTTGGCAACATATTCAAATTTTACGCTGACTTATTTTTGAGGAAGTTATCGCTATTTTTGTGATTTTTCCTTAATTTATGATAACCAGTGTATTAAAAAAGCATAATTAGTTCTACGTAAAGTTCGAAACTTATCAGCATCGGTCACATAGGTCGTAATCGCAAGGGGCCCTGTGTTCCAAGCGGCTCTTAAACCATTAATTTAAAACGCTAACATACACTGGTGTGCAAAACTTAAGCAAGAATATAAATTTTAATCATATAGCCATGAAATTGCAGAAAAGAGGTTCATGCGATGAGTAGAATGAACACGCGATTCAGTAGAAAGTTCATACCTATGCAAATGTCAAGAACAAAACTTCACAGGCGACATGAGTGTAAGCAAAATACGTGCGGTCGGCGGGCTCAACTCAATTCTACAATAAAAGGAAGAACATAGACGCAATTAAAGACATTCACTGCAAGCGCAAGTGGGTCCTTTCGTGAAATATGGCTGGAAGAAATCACCTGGATGACTTTGCACCTGGAAGAGTGATGGAAAAGCTGCAGGAGGAGCGTAGTGAGACCAGTGTAGCTGAAGAGTTCGGGATGAACAAAAGTGTCGTTTCGCGCGCTTGGAAAACCTTCCAAACCATAAGTACAGCTGTTAGAAAGGTTGGTGGTGGCCGTCTCAGGAAAACAACTGCAGTGAATGACCGATATATTCATCCTGCAGGCGAAAAGACCCCGAAACTACCCTGCAAGCAAGCGCCATAGCTCAAGCAACTGTATACAGCAACGGGGCGACAAGTGTCACAGTTTATTGTGTCGAGACGCCCTCACAAAGGTAGCGTATTCGCCCGCCATCCTTAATGCTGCATCCCTTTGAAAGTTGGCCATCGACGACATCGTTTAGAATGGTGCAACAAGCACGAAAACTGCGCATCTCATCAATGGAGTAGTGTCCTCTTTATGGATGAGTGCCACAAGCAGTTCTGAATGCCAGCTGATTTGGAGAGAGGTTGGTTTCATCCCAGTAATGGTTTCATTCCAGGATCCCAGGATAGTTTCATTTCAGTAACATCACAGAAAGAAATTGTTACGGTGGTCCTGGAGATTTCGTCTGGGGAGGCATTATGCTGAACGGGCGCACAGAGCTCTCTATTTACGACAGAGTTTCTGTAACCTGGAGATTCGCTATTGTCAGGAGGTGATCCTTACCCCATACGCGTCTGTTACTATGGTGCCATTCGGAGCAGACCTGATGTTATGGATGCCAATGCACGGCTGCACCGGACTGATTGCTATTCAGAAGCTACCGAAAAGTGAAGCTATCACTCGAAAGGGTTGGCCAGCGTACTACCCTGATTTAAATCCAATAGAACATGTGTGGGATGCTTTGGGGAGATGGCTTGCGGCAAGATTGCATTCTCCGGGAACATCGAACAACTGAAACAGATGGTGATTGAGGAATGGGCACTCTTACCTCAAGATCTGTTGGACAGTCTGGTGCTGAGTATGGAAAGACGGTGCGAAGCAACCATTGCAGTAATGGGAGGGCATACCCCATGCTGCTTGTTGTTCTTCCTCTTGTACAGACAGTCATGTGTAACGATACTATGAGTTCAATAAAGCCTTTTTTGTTTGATTCCATACTGTTTGCATTGTATTCAGTTTTGTGCACCCTTGGTTTCGTCATCGTTTAAATACAAACTGCTGTCTCACATTTCTGAATTTCCTGTCTCTCAGATGATTTCTCGTGGAGTTATGGCAAAAAGAACACCTGTTGCTTAAGTTTTGTACACCAGTGTATTTATGTCATAAGATTTGGGGCTCTAAAAGCTTCAAATGAGATCAACTTTCCGCTTCATACATTCGGACTAAAAAAAAGAAAAATAAATGTTCAACTAATACTAAAACGAGTTCTGTTTTAGGAAAAAGCTAGTAAATTTCTTTCCTTTTACTTCTTTCAAATTATTGCATTAATTAGAATTTATGTTAAGCAGAGACATTGCAGTACATCAGATGTACCTTCATCGTACGTGCAGCAGTTAAGGGGACTCCTACACTTTAAAACCCATAGGATGTTCGAAAAGGTGACTGTTGCAAGAATTGGGATAATTTATTTATTTTAAAAGCAATTACTACCAACCTTTTACAGCTGACTACATAACATAGCTGCTTTCTGAAATATTAATCAGAAAGGTTGTGTTGCCACAAATATTTTTATAATTTAATCCACTTTGTGACAATATTTTTCATCATGTTTCCAACTTGCGCGCACAGTTTAAAACATTCTTTTTCATAATTTAATTCCGTATTTAATATATAGCTTTTATAACATTTGGAAACTACTGTGAACCTAAAATTCTAAAAATTTTATGTTAAATTTTTATTTTATTTTGAGTTGAGTTTATAAAATGTATTTTATTAACAAAATTTGTAATGTTTTCGTCCATAAAATTTTTCAGTATTAAAATATTCATCAGACTGTTGGTTCAGTTAAAAAATAGTGCCCGTATAAAGAATTCCATCCAAAGTATGTACCATTAGCCATTTTTAAAATACCATGCGCGCAAGGTGGAAGCATGGCGAAATATTTTGTCACAAAGAGAATTAAATTACAAAAATATTTGTGGCAACACAAACTTTCTGGTTACTAGTTTCCAAAACAGTTATATTATGTAGTCAGCTGTAAAAGGTTGGAAGTAATTGCTTTTAAAATAAATACAATATCCTAATTCTTGCAACAGTCACATATTCGAAGATCATGAGGGGTTTAAGGTGTATGAGTTCCCTTAACGACACTTGATGAACTGCCTTATTAAAACGTACTTGATATTGACTGTCCTAAAGAAATGTAGGCAAATGCTTATATATAACGTCAATAACAGTGTAAACAAAGATGTTAAATAAACAAAATAATATTACAGCCTTACCTGTAGCGGTGTAAATAAGATCACCGAGCACTCGCAGTTCAATCTATATTCTTCAATATTCACAAAATGCAAGAAAGAATGTGATTAGATAGTGAGGGCACTGAGGTTTCGTGCATCATTTAAGGATCATGTAAGAGACTATTGTGATTCGTAAAAACATGGTGGGAATAATTTTGAATTTAATATTTTTTTTGGCTAATGGCCTGATGTAAATGGATCGATTTCCGAATAAAGCCGAAAGAAACAACAATGATTCGTAAAAAAGCTTCCAATACCATCTTAAGCATCATTATTACCTTTGACCAGAACGAGAAAAATTAAAGATAGAACCGTGGTCTCTTGATCTCGAAATTGGATCCGTTTGAGGCCTTCATACGTATGTAATTTCGAAAATTAACAGCACACATCAAGCGACATTCCTACGATTCTCGACTCTAAATAAAAGTAGTGTCTGATAATGCGTAGTCAAAAATGGCAAACAAGCAAAGCATCGATTTCTTTAGTTGCTGCGACCAATGGTCTGCATCCTTATGCAACTAATTGGTCTGAATCCTTATGCAACTGTAATTGGTCTGCATCCTTATGCAACTGTAATTGGTCTGCATGCAGACCATTGGTCTATATAAGGATGCAGACCATTATATATGGTCTGTATAAGGATGCATATCACTGGCTATCTACTCACCAGATTCTTTGGATATTGCTATAAAACCATGAAATCTGCACCTTCGTTCGGATTCGGTCGGTCTTTTAGGCTAGACAATGAAAAATATGCCAGCAATCGATAAAACACAAATATCCGCGTTTGCTTTTAAGCTTTTGTATCTGTGATGAGACTGAGGCCTATTACTGCTGTTTCTAATGCTTTGGTCTTTCGCGCATCGTAATGATCATGCGATTATTATTAAAAACAGAATTCAAGCATTTTTGCCTGCATTTAAGTTAAGTACTAATAATAAGAAATTCTGCAACCATGTTAGGCCATTTGGGAGATAGTCCTCAGTAACATCTCATTTTAGTGAGATACTATGCAGCACATGGAAGCTTTTGTAGTGAAATCTTTTCAATTTATCTACATGTCAGAAAGCCATTAACTGTAATATTAGCTAAAGGATGGAAACTGAGAAACGAAATCGTGAAATGTAAAGTGAATTAAAATTTTAGCAATAATAACATTTTGCTTTTGGAATGGTGATATATGTTTTAATTTTATGTCTAATTTATTTCAGGGCGATGACGACGATGCAGAAGATGAAAAGGCCGAGGTGTCTAAAATGCGTTTACTCAGAATTTCTGCTCCTGAGTGGCCGTATGCCATAATTGGAGGTTTATCGGCTATGCTAATTGGTCTTCATTTGCCTTTAATTGGAGTAATATTTGGCGAAATGCTTGGAGTATGTATCTTCATTTTTTAATTTTAACTTTATGTTACTGTTTCTGGCTCTGTGATTCAGCCTCTATGATTTATTGTAGCTGTTTCATTTCTTTTTACAAAACTGTGTATATTTCTGACCACTTGTGTGATTCTAATATTGGCAGTGACCTAATATGTTTATTTTAATAACTAACTCAAGACTTTGTATAAGTAATTGTAGAAACTTAGTTCAAGTACTGGTCATGGGAAATGGCATAGATGGTTTTCTAACAAAATTTTTATTTTCTCAATCTGGTCAGACCTCCAGAGTTCTTCAGAAAATCTTTTGAAAGCATAGCCCTTTTCAAATAAATCAACTGGTAATTTGTTTCAGAATTTCAAGCTCGTTTTTTTTGTGACTACTTCTTTATTCATACATATAGCGTGCCTTGGCGCTGAAGCTTTTAGCACTGCCAATCCAACAAAAAGTATCTACTTCAACGTATATGTTCAACTCTGTAGTTTTTAAACTATTCATATTGCCGAACCTATGTTACCGTGAAAGACCGAAATTAAAGAATGTCGACTTTCACCGGAGAATGTCAACATTCATTAAATACGTCGGTGAAAGATCGATTATTGCATTAAATTCTTCTACATTCGGACCTCACCGGTGCCTTGTGCATGTCGACAATCACAGATATGCTCTGGTGTAGGTCGAAAGAGAGGAGTATAAGAACACGCTGCCATTCCAAAAGGAAGTGTTCCACAAATAAATGCAGTCGAAAAGCAAGGCCTTCTTGGCAATTCAAAGTGTCATAATAGTTTTCAGTTGTTGCAATCAATAAGATTTGAATCACATAATTTGGTAAGTTTATAACTTCTATTATTTTCCTTTCTCATTTTGAATGTACTGTGTGTTTTAAGTTCTTATGTACTTAAGTTCTCATTCTGAGTCTCAATTGCGTTTTTTCACGAATGAATCACGGAGAAGGAAATATATTGTTATATGTTCAACATTCACCATTAGTACATGGTGAATGTCGACATTGACCGGTGTAAGTCAGAAATAAGAGTATTTGGCAACTATGTGACTATGTGACCAAGCGACTATGTGAATGTTGACATTCATCGGTGAAAGTCGACATTCTCCAGATTTCGGTGTTTCACCGTAACACCTACATTTAAGGAGTTTTGTGTCTGTGCAGAGTAAATGTTATTTCAAACTGCTATACCATCTAAAAAGCATTTTATTTTTGCTTTATTTATCATTATTATTAATAATTGTTTTTCGTTAATGACCGTAACTGTGAAAAGAGATTTGTACTTAGACATAATGCTGGGGGGATAATCTTAATTTGCTAACGGTTGGTTATTTAAAACTTAAACGTGTTGTATATTTTATTTAATAAACACAAAATTGGAAAACGAATTGATTTTTAGCAAACTAACTTCGTCTTGAGTTTCTAAACGGATAACCGACGTCATAAAATTTGTCAAATAAATGTTTACAAATAAGAAGTCAAATAAATGTTGTGAGAAGTAGATGCAATCAGAGATTGCATCTACTTCTCACAACTGTTTTTAAAAGAATAAAAAACGAAAATCGTTGTTTGGAAATTACGTAAAGTCTTCCCAGTTACAGATTATCTCACCTGTACGCAAGGGACTGTAAAACTTAAACTTGATCTGTATTAAAACTTTTATGTAATTCCAAATACAATGACTGTCAAACGCTCGAATGATTTTCTACTCTTATTTACCCGTTCTTAATCTTATTCTTGGAGAATTAGTTATGATTTCTGACAGTTATGCTATTCATTAACAAAGTCAGTGATGCATTGAAATATTTAAAAAATACTTAAATTGTGTTGTCATCACTCAAATCACGTATTTCATAGAAATCGTAAGTAGTATTTGCCTTGAAATGTGAAGCTTTAAACACATTTTCTCCAAATAAAATTTTTGCGTTTCAAAATTTTGGCTTGGTTCCGACAAATTTTTTTTTTTTCAATTCTTGGTATAGTTGTCCCAGTTAACTTGACAGTTTCTTATGTTATCTTGTCCTCGAACATAGCCGTCATGTAGAATTCCATCGATCTCTTGCAATCTGCCCTGAAAGTGTGAAGTCTGAATTTGATTTCAAGTAAAGAATTTGTACTGTAATACTTCTTTGACATCGACGATTTATTGTCTGTTGAAAAAACAATAAATTTTATTTTGTCATTCGGTATTTGCATAACATTTATTATATTATAACATACAAATTGTAGGAGGCAGCAAAATTCGTATTTTTTCACTATTCCTTCCGTATTTTAGTCGCTATCTTTGTCGTGAGACTCTCGAAGTTGACTGTTGGACGACTGAACAGGAATTGAGTTTAAAAAAAAAAGTGTGCGGGATTCCAAATTTTTCTGTAACAGCTAAGTGTGTAGAAATCTCGTGAACTGGCAAGCGAATTATCGCTTTAGTTTAGGAACATAGATGGGCCCACCAGCGGCCGAGCGGTAAAGTCGCTGAACACTGGTAGTTCGGTCCGAGGTTCGAATCCCGCGAACGGGCTGCTTATGGGGCGTTCGTGGTTTTCCCCGTCTGTAACGTGTATACGAGCCAGTTTCCCTTAGAACGTCCTCCACGAAGGCATCCCTCCCCTTAGGCAGATAGCCCTAGTGTGGTTTGCTATAATTAAATAAACCAAACCAAGCCAGGAACACAGACGTAAACTTAAGAAGGGTTAATTACCCTTTATTTCTCAAAATAAGAATTGGACAGTCGGTCCCTTTCTCAGGACGTACAACAAAGCCTCCACTTGGGCTTGAACTCTGATTAATAAGAAATACTAAGTAGTTGGCCCATAAATATCAACTAAACTGGCGAAGCTATCAAGGGCCTGAAATACGGTCGAGCCTAGTAATAGCTAGAGAGACTGCAGCCAAATGGCAAAACGCGCGCTAGTCATAACCTCTGGCTCTCTAACGTAGTCGGTAAAACTTCGACTTAAATACCGCTCTTACTCATTTGCATTAACCGCGATTCTAAAAACACATACTGGTAGGAAATTGTAAACTGAAATTAGGAGGATAGGAAAGTAACTTTAAATAAAGAGATAACTGTTTAAAACGTGTGATAAACCCTACAAGCTTCCAAGGATTCTGTGAGAATCTAACTCTCGTTATTTAACTCGTTGTTACGATAAGATCGTATAAAATATCGTATACCCGTAGCTCGGAGTAACATATCTCTACATATAATAAAAGAAAGAGTCTGTCTGTGTGTGCGCGTGTCTTTCGTTCGCGCTTGTGCGTAAGCTAATAGACCCACGCCTACGACATTTGGTACATAGGTACATCTAGACAAGAGCCAGTGCACCACAAAGCGATTTTTTCGAAATTCGATTTCCTTTTCTTTTATGTTTTGTGACGAAATCGCGTGATTTTGAGACATAATGGGCTATAGGAAGCGAGGTTTACTATACCACTCCATTTTCCCATCGTCATGAAAGTAGGCATTGGCTATTTTAGAACTTAAAAATAAATTTCGTTTTCAATAAATCGATTAATACGAATTTATTTACAAAGGGCTTAACATCTTTTCAACGGGAATTTCAAAAAAAGTTTATTTTAAAATGTACAGTTTTTTTCTTTGATTTTCGACGTTAAACTCATCCTTGCGGACTGCTTTACAAAAACAATTTTGAAAAAACGATAATATTTTGTATTTAAAAAAAAAAAATTAAATGAAGCTTTAGAATACACTTCTCATCTTTAAAAATGTGATTTGGGCAACAATTTTCCTTCTTATTGTGTTGATAGATTTTTATTACATCGCATCATTTTGAATAGTTCATTCTTTTAGAAATGGTTTTGGCACAATTTTTCATCGTATTTCTTATGTCACTGTTTTTTAGAGATTGGCTATTTCATTGCATAATATATATATATATATATATATATATATAATACATTTTTATTCATTTTTTGATAAAGTTTGTTCTGAAGAGTAAACTTCTGCGCGTAAATTTTATGTTTTTGATTGCTTTCGTGTTATTTTTGCTTATTCACTGTTTGTCAGATTTTTTGAAAAAGTTTTGATTTTTTTCTTAGGAAATTGGTGATTTTTTATTAGGATATAATGTTATTTTTACATTTTAATTTTTTCTCTTGAAAATATAGATAAATATCATATTATACTTTGCTTTCAGAATTTTTTTGTATTTCTTTTATGTTTTTATGCCGTTTCACTGTTTTTAAGATATTGAAAAGTTTTGAGTGATTTTTTTAGGAAATAAATTTCTTAACCTCCTTTATACCATTTGAGTTCTTCAGATTTTGCTAATAGCACATAAAGCATTGTTTCTTGGACAGCTGCTGCAATATTCTTAAATTCTTAGTGATAAATTATGTTTTCGAGTTGAGGAAAGGCTACTCGGCTTTTGCTACACCCAGCGTCACGAAATAATAATTTAGTATGGTTGGTGTTATTTTGATTGTTGCTGAGTTTCTGAAAGCTTATGAGATACTAGGGGAAGGGTAAAAGATTTACTCGAATTTCTAAACTATGTAGTTTGTTGATAGTTGATAGCAGGCGAGGACACCAGTCCTTTACCGTGGGAGAGGGTGTGCTTCAATTGCAACGTTCTGTAAGTTAGATGTTTTTTCAAGGTTCAGTACTTCTGAGGTTTCAAGGTTCAGTACTTTTCATGGTTCAGTACAGTTTAAACAAATTAGTGAGAACGAAGTTATAGTACAATGCGAGATTATGACGATGCAGTGGTTGCTATGATGAGTGCTTGCGCTTGCATGGGATGCAGCTTTACGACATATTGTAATTCAAAGCTAACGACTTATTGTGCATCGTAAGACTTGAATGTCTGTATCCTGATATGAACTCTTTAATGCAAGACGGTCCGCTTAGACCAAAAATTTTAGTTGGGGAGTTTCATCCTAGCACTTCGAACCTATATTAAAATAGCTCAAACGTATATTAAATTAATAAATTAGTGGAAATTATAATTAATATTTTGAAAGATTTTTAAATTAA